CCAAGTGAGCTATTAAAGGGTGTCCACGATGAAATTGCCACACTATGAAATTGCTCTAACTTTTTAACCGTTGGGTAGAATTTAATGAAAATTTGGGTGGATTTAGTTCATAGTGCATTATTTACATCCTGTAAGTTTTAAAGTCCTGTGATCAAAACTCGCGGAAATGGAGTCGAAAGACCAGCTCGTGCGTGATAAAATCTTGCGCATTCATCACGAGAACAAGGATATCTCGCATCGTTCCATCGCTAAAACGTTGGGAATCGCGAATTCCACGGTGTCGCGAATGATTAAGCGGGTCGAGGAACGGTTGACCACCGATCGGAAGCCCAGAAGTGAAGGAAAAAGTATTCCGTACAACACCAAAAATCACAACCGCGTAGTTGGGGCCTTCAACCGAAATCCGAACGCCTCCGTTAGGGATGTGGCTAAGAAGCTGCACCTAAGCCGAAGTTTTGTCCAGAAGGCCAAAACTAAGGCTGGGCTTCGAACGTTCAAGGTACAAAAGGCCCCTAATCGCGACGAGAAGCAGAACAAGTCCGCCAAAACCCGTGCCAGGAAGTTGTACCTCAACATGCTGACGAAAGTTGAATGCTGCATCATGGACGACGAAACATATGTGAAGGCCGACTTCAAACAGATCCCCGGCAACCTGTTTTTCACGGCCAAGGATAAGTTCAGCGTTCCGGAGCATGTCCGCACTCAGAAGATGTCCAAATTTGCGAAGAAATTCCTGGTTTGGCAAGCCATCTGCACGTGCGGGAAGCGGAGTGCACCTTTCGTGACCCAGGACACGATGAACGGACAGGTGTACATAAAAGAGTGCCTCCAGAAGCGGCTGCTTCCTCTCCTGAAGGCCCACAACGTCCCAACAATCTTCTGGCCGGATTTGGCCTCATGCCACTACTCCAAGGACGTGCTGAAGTGGTATGCGGACAATAAGGTCAATTTCGTGCCGAAAATGTTCAACCCTCCCAACACTCCGGAGCTCCGCCCCATCGAGAAGTACTGGGCGATTATGAAGCAGCAGCAGTATGGGTTTACATGCAAAATTGCGTATGGACTGTAAATAAAATACGAGTAAAATGGTAAAATGAAGTTTAATAGTTATTTCTCAATCCCTGAAAATTTGATGGCAATTGGATGAAAACTCGAATTTTGCGAATCAATTTTGTGTGTGGCAATTTCATCGTGGACACCCTTTAAAATATGGTCGTGAAGCACTGGCTAGAGCACTGCACGGGGTAATTGCCAAGATATAGGAAGAGAAGATAATGGAAATGTCGTATGCCCAATCTACAAAAAGGGCAACAAGTTGGATTGCTGAAACAACGGTGCGATCACAGTGCTGAGCGCCGCCTACAAGGTAGTTTCTCAAATTCTTTGTCGTCGTGTGTCACCATTTGCAAGAGAGTTCGTGGGGCAATACCAGGCGAGATTCATAGGTGCCCGCACTAATTTTCGCGATTCAACAGGTTCTACAGAAATGCCGCGAATACAACGTGCCCACAGATCATTTGTTCGTCGATTTCAAATCCGCATACGACACAATCGATCGAGATCAGCTATGGCAGATTATGCACGAGTCAAGTGAAGACGATCGATCGAGTGATGTGTTCGAGTATCGGGGACACGCTAGAGTCCATTTGAATCTCAAAGGGGTTGCGGCAAGGTGATAGACTTTCGTGTCTGCTATTTAACGTCGTGTTAGAAGGTGTGATAAGAAGAGATGGGATAGACACGAGTGGCACGATCTTTAGGAAGTCCATCCAGCTTCTTGTATTCGCCGATGACATCGACAGCATGGCAAGGAACTTTGAGACGATTGCGGAACCGTACATCAAACTGAAGGCTGAAGCCAGGCGGATTGGATTTGTCATCAACGCATCGAAAACGAAATACATGAGAGGAAGAGGTTCTAGGGAAGAAAATGTTAGCCTCCCACCCCGAGCTCAGATTGACGGTGACGAAATCGAGGTTGTCGACGAGTTCGTGTATTTGGGCTCACTGGTGACCGCCGAAAATGATACCAGCTGAGAAATTCAAAGACGCATTATGGAAGGGAATCGTATCTACTTTGGACTCCGGTCGAATCTCCACACGAAGTTGACTAACTACAATACGCTGATTAGACCGGTGGTATACAACAAGCGCTAATCACCCCTATTCTGTATTTCGTTTCGAACGAAATTCTCATACAAAAAAATATTTTTTTGTATGAGAATTTCGTTCGAAACGAAATACAGAATAGGGTTGAATGTCTTCTTTGAATTCTTTGCAGACATCCTTACCACGACTGCATGCATAGGAGACGAAGAAGAGCATAACGATTTTTTTTTTTGCTTTTTGCTGGGTTTCCCATTTGCAACCCTACACTGAGTGGCGCTCTTTGCCTTGGAGCCGTCGGAGCGATGGCTACACATTGAGCTTTCGTTATTTCTGGGTGTGTGTTTGTCTTCTCTCCTTCGCTGCTTTACACTTGCGCAGGGTGAAAGACAAGCAAACTTGGTGTTTGCTTGATTCTCACTTTGTTTATTTCAGAAAATCAGTACATTGCGCACATTGAGAGATCAAATAACAGCTCTGCATTTTGGAATATTCGCAACAAGTCTACAATGAACGGACTGACCACAGTGGCAGTAAACCATGATTTTAACATCCAATTAGTGTTTCCCACCCGGGAAACTTATAGGAAGGAACTTTCGCAGGAAGTTGAAAATTGCGAGTTTTGGAAGAAACCTGGAAAAGTTTAAAGAAACTTCAAAGGAAAGTCTGGAGAAACTTCCGGAAACAGTCGGAAGACACTTACAAAAGAAGTCAGAAAGACTTCTTGGGGGTTCCGGATCTAGGCGAGTAAGAGAGGTGCCACAGTCGGAAGAAGTGTTAGTTTGTTTACTTAAATGAACCATGCCCATTTTGTTATGGCAAGTTTGCTATAATAAATGCTCCTCGTGTTTATTAGCAAAATTCACATCAAAGATTGATTAATTGCGTAGGAAATCAGTTTGACACGGCATTTGTGACCAGGATACACCTTCCGGTCGTACGAAACAGGTAAAAAACTGTCCAAATCCGCAGATAAAAATTTTTGTTTTGAATTTCTGTATGGCAAAATAGTGAACTTTTCGTGAACATTACGGCAAAGAACTCACCAACACTGGGAGACCGTGAGTTCCTGCCCACCTGTCATTTCCCATCTCGGTTCCGGATGACTGTCCCAGAAGAAGTTCTAAAAAGCTTCTGAGGGAAGTAGAAATAAAGTTGCGAGAAAAGTTGGCTTTCCGTCAGTATCTGTTCCTTCACATAGGTGCTAATTATCGACGCCAGAAAGGCGACTACACCTCGTCCCTACATATCGTACCATGGGCCAGGACCAACGGCTTTACTTCTCAAATTGAACCCAGACCCACTGGGGTGAGAAAGCAGTCACGCTAACCGTCCATTTTTTCAGTTTTAAAGTGTTCAATTTGAACATTTCAGAAGCATTTTCGAAAATCATTTAAATAAAAAATATTGAATAAAAATTGAACGGTTACCTTTTAGGTTATAGTTAAAATTTTAACGTTTTTTTTTGGGTTTGTGTTTTGGCCAAAACTTTTTATTTTATGTGGTTTTGTCTGGAATGGCTATCTATTTTCCTCCAATTTTTATCAGGCGTTGATAAGAAAAGACGTTTTTAATAAGGCAAAATTCAAATTTGCTTGATTGGCCATAGCGAATAATTAGCAGTCTTCGGTAATAAGGATACCTTATACGTTTAGTATTCTTATTGCAGATGCCCTGGCATCAAGGAATCCATAAAAAAACAACATCAAAGAATGCGGATTACTGATTGTATAGCATCTTTTGTGATTTAGGAATAGATTTTGTTATGATCGATTTTCACCGAATTTAGACTGCCGGTTCCGAAGATAAGACCGAAACGGTTTGTCCAAGATCCATAACAATGTAAAACCAGATATTGGTGGTGTTCAATAGTTGATAATTATTGCCCAGAAAACATAATGAAGGTGTTCTCCAAATGTTGAAACAATTTAATACCTAGCCTTCTCCATTCAGTTGAGTGCCAGAAACCGCCCGGTATGGCAGTACTATATAATCGATTGATAATTAATTTATCTCTGAACCAGCATTTCTAAGATAAGAAAAATACCCCCAGCTCAAGCGAGTTGGATAAAATTAGGCCACGAAGATCACCACTGAGCACCATCACATAGCTAGTTTCTCAGTCTCTGGAACGGCAAACCTAATAAAAATGACTCGACCTGTTCTACTGGGGTGATGACTATTAATACACCGTCGTCATCATGATACCCATAGCATTGCGGACAACACGTTATCTTTGGTGCGCTTGCCATGAATGGGTGGGGATGATGACAAAAGTTCTTAGAAGAGCAAAATAATTTGAAGTCGTAATATGCCATGAGCTTCTCGAAGGTCAGCCAATATCGCTGTCCAAGGCTGTTGGATATCGATTCGGTACCTAGTTAGCATATATTTTTGTAAAAATTTCCGGTTGAGATTCGCCATTCCAAAAAGGTTGAATCAAACTCAATCCAGACTTCGCAGTCTGAAAAATTCCAAGTACAACGAAGAAGTCTCGTTCAATCGATGGATGCTATTCGTGCCTTCTTCAAAGCTGTGTGCTGCGTATAATGCAGTACAGCACACAAACAAACATCGGACAGCAGGGGGAAAAAGTTTCATCTTCGACTTGCCTTCGATGCTGCTGTTGCTGCTGCTGCTGTGGTGCTATAGAGAAGAGCCAAGTATTTGAACATTCTTCTTTGCACATCACACCGTTCGGTTTCGGTCCACTTGTAAGACCGACAATCGACCGAGTCCAGAAATGTGCACAGCATAGAACGACGACACGTAGGGCAGCTTGTTTCTATCGTTCGCTGCTTTGCAAACCGTTGTTGCTACTGTTGTTGTTATTGAATCTTTGGTGATACTGACGGTGTGTATGAACGCGAAAATGGACCTGCGCCGTAACTTACCTCGTTCACTGTCGTTGTTGTCGAGTGGGAAGAAGGCCTAGGCTGTGAGGACTCTTCTTGGTGAAATCCATCCTCACAGGCTGCGATTGGCTCAGAGATATTAATCTCCAGCTGCAGATCTTTTTCCTGTTTGATGGTAATTTCGGGGACAATATGCAGTCGTTGCCGGATGCGGTCATCATTAGTTTTGCACTGTTCGCGATATGAGTAGAAATCATCAATTTTCGCAATACAGGCCTGGCATATCATAGCGTTCTGATCGTCCCCCTCGTTGACGATCTGCGCGTGTGGCAGTGGTGAAAAGATAAGAAAGAAGAGAGTGGAGTTGGTTTTTCTGCTTGCCCCTACATCCGCTAGGAATTGGATCGATATTTTCGATGGCGTTCTGCCACACCGTAGTTGCCCTTACCTGTACAGTTGTGCACTCGAAGATCTTTTTGAGCAGTAATTTATTAGATTTATACGTAGTACCCTCCGGAAATAGCAAACTCAGGTCCGCTTGGTTTTCCGAACAACACAATCGGCATATTTTCACCACCGACTGGCCAGGCAGAGCCGCATTTTCTCCATATACTTGGATTGTAGTATCCATTTTGTTGTCTTGATCGTTCAATATCTCGCACTACACACCGCGACCGTGAACAGAAGATTATCGAGTAGCAACACACACGGAAACAGCACCGACTAGATAATCTACATCGAAAACCACCACAAGTGAGTAAGATCTACAACGCCCAGTGGATCCATTTTCTGAGGAACTTTATCTTCACTATACTTCTCCTTCGCTCGTAACTTAGGTAATACACAAGTCCACTCCACTCACTACAACGCTGGGTAGGACAATAATGTCGAACAGCACCAACAGCGGAAAGAGCAGCCGTCGTCGACCGTGTCGCTCTGTACCTGCTGCTGAGCATGTATACGACGCACAAGAAGGCATACAAGAGCACAAAACGAGACAGGCGTTCAATATCCTGAACCACACCGTGACACTTCTTCAACCAAATCACGCACTTTAACCGGTGTTTTCAACATCCAACACCGACGAAATTGGCTAAATTTCTGTCGCACGATTATCCTCGGATCACTACCTATATTTTCGTGGATATTTCGAAAACATTGATCGCTTTTTCAGCATAGATTTTGGATTTTTTCACGAGCAATTCGGAATAACTTTTGTTTTGTACGCCACACATCAAATCCCAGAGAGCGAGAAGCCGAGAAACGCTCCAGAGGAAGAAGACAACGACGGCAGCGAAGGATGGGATCAAATTCGCGTCCCTTCCCTCTTTTTCGCTCGTTCTGTTTTTGCTTTCCCTCTCTCTCGCTTGTGCATCTCATATAAACAAACAGATGTCTCGTATATTGCGCGAATGATCGAAATTCACAATGCGGTAAATTTGAGAGCACGAATTTGTTGCAACCGCTTCAATTTTTTTAATGGAATGCACAGTTTCACATAATTTTCCAATAACCAAAAGGTTATTTTTCAGTTTTAATTAAATATTATAACAATTCTGATTTCGTTTTTTAAGTTAATAAACTGTTCATAATTAATTTTAAATAGATTTTAAATTGCCGCAATTTTGAAACGTAACCAAACCTACAATATTTTCACCGCTACGGCATACGGCACGAGAGAGTATGACAAAACGCCGAAAGCAAAACAAAAACTGCAAGATTGACGTTTGACTACACCGCATGGTTCTGGCGTCAGGACGGTGTAATAGAGTGCGCTTTCCAAGCGCGTTCAAACACGGAAAATATTTCATCGGTTTCAAATATTTATTGCGTGCTAGTCGGAAAACCACACGAACAGTACTTCAATTTTTATTCCATTACAATACTGCCCAATTTGGGTTGTTTAGGGGTATTGAGGTAAATACATATTCGTTACCTGCATTAAAAATGGATCCGACATCCAAAATTTCATCAATTTTGGTACATTGGAACGATTTTAAATAAGTACGATTACATTATCAAAAATCACCATCTTAGCGCCCCTTGGTGGGACTTTGTATGGGAGCGAGCTGTATCGAAAAAAAAATCGAGATGAATATGTACGGGATTGATAAAAATGTGCTCCTCCTGCAAAATCCTGACATCATCTCTGGTTTGCAATGGTTCCTGTTTGGTTTCGAAATCGTTGGTTTCCGAAGATGCTGCAATGTATTGCCGGAAAATAATTCGACCGAAATTTGATACAGCTGGCAGCAACAGCATGTTATCAATATTGCAGCTCGTTGATGTTGATTCCACAATTTTAAATTCCTATATCTATATTTAGGAATTTCATGTTTGAAGAAAAAAACGGGTACCACGAACATTTTGTAACTTATTGACAAATTCACGATGAGTAAGTTTTTTTTATCGTTACTCTAAAGTGAGTAATCATTGATTTACACGCTTATTCTGGTCAACTCAAAATTGAATCGAATGTACTCATCTCAGCGGCAAGTAGGGCTACTCAAAATTGAGTAGCCTTATGTTGACTCACTTTTGAGTAAACGACGTTCTCACGTGGACTGATTCAAATCCACTCAGCGATATTTTCAGTTGCAGGGGGGTTTTTGTTTTGATTTTATTTAAGGAAATGAAAATTGTCTGCTCCGGATTCATTCTACCGGGGCAGAAAATGGTTCAACACCATTGCCCTACGCAATTTCTACTTACCTGAAGGAATTTCCGCCCGTTTTGAGTGAAACATTCACCCGTTTTCTAGGACGTTTCCTCCAACATGGTTGACCTTTTTTCTAAGTCCAGAATTTTGCTGACTGAGTGGGTTTTACCATAGAGGTAACTCTAAGACTACTGGGTCCCGAAGAAAATCATTATTATTTTTGGCTCACTCAGTACCAGAACAACGGTCCCAAGCAGTCCCAAGCTATTTCACTCACCCCTGCATGTTCTGCATGAATCCACACACCCCTGATGTTATCTGTCAAACTTTCATAGCGAATCAAAACAAACATAGTGTAGTAATAGAATTTCAACTAGAATAGGCTAGGTTAATCGTTTGCTTGGGACCAATAGGCTACTAAAGTGGTGAGCCAATTTAAAATCGTTAGTTTCGTATTGATTGTTGGTTTTACTCAGTTTGACATTTCAGTGCCAACATTTCAAAGGGGCGTAATTGCTTTTGTAAACAATGACTTTAGCCGTCAATTTCTCGCGAATGAAATCATACACACTTAGATTTTTCTAACGAGATCGGCTGTGCAAATCTCGGCAAAAAAAGTTTTACTGAGATATCAGCAAACATTTCATTTGTTTGCTGAGATTCAGCTAAGCATTATCCGAGACTCAGCAATCAAATGTCACTTTTACTGAGATCTCAGTGAAACTTATTTTGCCGAGATTTGCACAGCCGAGCTCGGTAGAAAAAACTAAGTGTGTACCTCTCAAAAATTACAATGCTAGCTGGTAGAGGAAACATTCATCTACCTGCTGGTGTCATTATTTTTCATGCGTGAGCTTTTATTCGCAAGAAATCGGCGGCTAAAGCCATTGTTTACAAATGCAATTACGCCCCTTTGAAATGTTGGCACTGATTTCTTGTTTACTCAGTTTTTGACAACTCGATACATCGGACGAAAGTGAGTACGATCGACTCACCCGGTGAGTAAATTGAAGTTAGCGTGTAAGATAAATAGAGTAAATGTTACTCAGTTTGCTAAATCAATGTTACTCAGTTTTAGACATTTTGAATAAAAATACCAAACTGAGTAGAAGTTACTCACTTTAAAGTAAAAATATACGAGCGTATACAGGGTGTTTGGTTCCGGATTTTACATATTTTCAGGGTAGATAGGGCTCCTAAAGTTATGAAAAAATCCCCATGAAACATTGGGTCGGAAATGACTGCCAAGGCTACTACCAAAGGCACAAATCTAGGGAACTGCATGGAGAATGTTTTGTAGAACAACTAAATTAACAGTAATGAAATTTTTCAACTTAAAAACACTAATACCAACAATCAATACGAAACTAACGATTTTAAATTGGCTCACCACTTTAGTAGCCTATTGGTCCCAAGCAAACGATTAACGTACCCTATTCTAGTTGAAATTCTATTACTACACTATGTTTGTTTTGATTCGCTATGAAAGTTTGACAGATAACATCAGGGGTGTGTGGATTCATGCAGAACATGCAGGGGTGAGTGAAATAGCTTGGGACTGCTTGGGACCGTTGTTCTGGTACTGAGTGAGCCAAAAATAATAATGATTTTCTTCGGGACCCAGTGGTCTTAGAGTTACCTCTATGCTAATACCAACAATCAATACAGTGTTCACTCGGCTGTCGACAAAAGCAGGCCACTCTCGATGTCTGCCACGCGATCGTCTGCTTACTCGGCAGCAACCATTGTGTGGTCCTCCTCATTGTTCTTCATCAGCAGTTCTTTCGGTCGATGCGTCGTCGACTTTGGAAAGCAACCGTTTCGTGATGAGTGTGTGAGTGCTGACCACGTTTTGCGTCCATTGCTGCAATGGACGCGCTCTGACCCTCGTTGGCGTACAACAATTTGCCATACAATGAAACTACTGGAAGCGGCTCCAGTTCTGATGGAGTAGGCTTTTTGGATCGCGGAAGATAAAGTGTTTAAAGGGTTATACCAACAATCAATACGAAACTAACGATTTTAAATTGGTTCACCACTTTAGTAGCCTATTGGTCCCAAGCAAACGATTAACGTACCCTATTCTAGTTGAAATTCTATTACTACACTATGTTTGTTTTGATTCGCTATGAAAGTTTGACAGATAACATCAGGGGTGTGTGGATTTATGCAGAACATGCAGGGGTGAGTGAAATAGCTTGGGACTGCTTGGGACCGTTGTTCTGGTACTGAGTGAGCCAAAAATAATAATGATTTTCTTCGGGACCTACTAGTCTTAGAGTTACCTCTATGGTTATACGGTCAAAATTTGGTCAATATCAGCTTGACGTATTTCTTCCAATTTTGCATTTAAAAAACCTGAACACCCCTCATTTTGAAGGTCTGTGTGTGTAGAATGTTGCTCCTATTTTGATTTTGGAATTCACTCTTCAGTTGTCAAAATGCCGTCCAAGCAAGAAGAGCAGCGTATCAAAATTTTGCTCGCGCATCGCGAAAATTCGAGCTACTCGCACGCAAAGTTGGCAAAATCGCTAAAAGTTGCCAAATCAACCGTTACAAATGTAATTAAAGTGTTTGGGGAACGTTTGTCGACAGCCAGGAAGTCTGGATCGGGGGGAAATCGAAAACCGGAAGCCGCTGAGACGACAAAGAGAGTTGCCGGTAGTTTCAAGCGAAACCCTAACCTCTCTCTCCGAGATGCCGCAAATAAGCTGGGTGTATCGTCTACAACCGTGCATCGAGCCAAAAAACGAGCCGGACTATCGACTTACAAGAAGGTAGTGACTCCAAATCGCGATGATAAACAAAATACGACGGCCAAAGCGCGATCCCGGAGGCTGTACACTACGATGCTGACGAAGTTTGACTGCGTGGTAATGAACGACGAAACCTACGTCAAAGCCGACTACAAGCAGCTTCCGGGACAGGAGTTTTATACGGCAAAAGGAAGGGGAAAGGGAGCAGATGTTTTCAAGCACATGAAACTGTCAAAGTTCGCAAAGAAATATCTGGTTTGGCAAGCCATCTGTACCTGTGGCTTAAAAAGCAGCATTTTCATAGCTTCCGGGACTGTCAACCAAGAAATTTACGTGAAAGAGTGTTTGAATAAACGTCTGCTGCCTTTCCTGAAGAAACACGGTTGTTCCGTACTGTTTTGGCCGGATTTGGCATCTTGCCATTACGGTAAAAAGACCATGGAGTGGTACGCCGCCAACAACGTGCAGGTGGTTCCCAAGGACAAGAACCCTCCCAACACGCCAGAGCTCCGCCCAATTGAGAAATACTGGGCTATTGTCAAGCGGAACCTAAAGAAGACCAAAAAAACTGCTAAGGGCGAGCAGCAGTTCAAGGCAAACTGGCTTTCTGCGGCGAAGAAGGTGGACAAGGTGGCTGTACAAAATCTGATGGCAGGGGTCAAGCGTAAGGCCCGGCAATTCGGATTTGGAAAAGCGGAAGCCTAACTGAATATTTTTCCTGAATTTTATACTAATTGAACTTGAAAAAGAAATTTAATTTGATTTTTTAAATAAACGATTTCACCGATTTACACGCGTTTTCCCTTGACCAAATTTTGACCGTATCACCCTTTATTGTGTTGTACCTTTTGACTATAGTTTTAAGATGTATTGTATAGTGACCAAGAATCCTCGGCTCTGTAAAGTTGATTCGGTTGAGCCTTATCAAATAAATTAATGAACAAAAAAAAAACAATCAATACGAAACTAACAATTTTAAATTGGCTCACTACTTGACTAGCCTATTGGTCCCAAGTGAACGATTAACTTACCCCATTCTAGTCGAAATTCTAGTACTACACAATGTTTGTTTTGATTCGCTATGAAAGTTTGACAGATAAAATGAGGGGTTAGTGGATTTTCCTATGTTTCGAGGGGTGAATCGATTAGCTTGGGACCGAAAACCCGCATAAACGCGAACCATCACATGACCTTACCGATAATGGTTATAAATTGTTTATAATCCCTGCTAAACTTCAACTGAAATGGTTATGGAACCTTACATGAACGTTTGTGTGATAAAGTTTTAACCTTATGTGTTATGGTTTTTTGGAAGCGGACCTTACAAATAATGGGTTGTTAAGAACCATTACCATTCCAAATTCTTGTTTTCTCCATACATTTTCGGAAAGAGAACTATATTAGAACGTTTTTACTTATGGTTTGAGAACATTAATGGTTATGGTTATGGTAGTCAGTAAGGTCCATTAATGGTTTTGTATTATCGCTCAACTTTACGTGAAATATATCGTGAATTGGTAATCAGTAATTTACAGGCAACCAATTCGCGATATATTCCACATAAAGTTGATCGATGTTACAAAACCATTCATGGACCTTACTGGTTACCATAACCATTACCATTAATGTTCTTAAACCATAAGTTAAAAGGTTTTAGTAAAGTTTTCTTTCCGAAAATGTATGGAGAAAACAAGAATTTGGAATGGTAATGGTTCTTAACAACCCATTATTTGTAAGGTCCACTTCCAAAAAACTATAATACTTAAGGTTAAAACTTTATCATTAAACGTTCATGTAAAGTTCCATAACCATTTCAGTTGAAGTTTAGCAGGGATTATAAACAATTTATAACCATTATCGGTAAGGTCAATTTATGGTTCGCGCTTATGCGGGAAGAGTACCAGAGCTGAGCCAAAAAGTTGAGCACGTTATTTCGGGACCTTCTAGTCTTACAGTTACCTCTATGCTAATACCATAGAGGTAACTCTAAGACCACTGGGTCCCGAAGAAAGTCATTATTATTTTTGGCTCACTCAGTACCAGAACAACGGTCCCAAGCAGTCCCAAGCTATTTCACTCACCCCTGCATGTTCTGCATGAATCCACACACCCCTGATGTTATCTGTCAAACTTTCATAGCGAACAAAACAAACATAGTGTAGTAATAGAATTTCAACTAGAATGGGGTACGCCATAGAAGTACTTGGGACAAATAGGCTACTCAAGCAGTGAATCAATTTAAAATCGTTAGTTTTCACCCCCTGCTAATACCAACAATCAATACGAAACTAACGATTTTAAATTAGCTCACTACTTGACTAGCCTATTGGTCCCAAGCAAACGATTAACGTACCCCATTCTAGTTCCAATTCTAGTACTACGCAATGTTTGTTTTGATTCGCTATGAAAGTTTGACAGGTAAAATGAGGGGTTATTGGTTTTTCCTATGTTTCGAGGGGTGAATCGATTAGCTTGGGACCGAAGAGAGTACCAGAGCTGAGCCAAAAAGTTGAGCTCGTTTCTTCGGGACCTTCTGGTCTTAGAGTTACCTCTATGCTAATACCATAGAGGTAACTCTAAGACCACTGGGTCCCGAAGAAAATCATTATTATTTTTGGCTCACTCAGTACCAGAACAACGGTCCCAAGCAGTCCCAAGCTATTTCACTCACCCCTGCATGTTCTGCATGAATCCACACACCCCTGATGTTATCTGTCAAACTTTCATAGCGAATCAAAACAAACATAGTGTAGTAATAGAATTTCAACTAGAATAGGGTACGTTAATCGTTTGCTTGGGACCAATAGGCTACTAAAGTGGTGAGCCAATTTAAAATCGTTAGTTTCGTATTGATTGTTGCTAATACCCCGTTCACATTACAGCCTATATCACGTAATATAGGCTGTCTTGCTATGAACACTCATACAAAGGATTTCCAGTGAAAACTAGATGTATGAGTGCTCATTGCAAGACAGCGTATATCACGTGGTATACGTTGTAATGTGAACGGGGTATAAAATGCTTGAAATTTCACCAGTTTTTTTTTTTGGAACTTTCAACCTCGCTTTCAACATACTTTTCAATTTTAATATATGATAATTAACTTTAATCGAGTTCTTTTGCAAAGAACATTGATAGTTAAGACTTTGATCTTTCATTTGGTAAGTTGAAATCAGAAAACCACATTAAGATTAACAAAATATAGCTAACCAAAGTTGGCAATAAAAAAAAAACATAAAATGTTGAATAACTCACTTAGCAGTCATTTTCGACCCTACACAGCAAAAAAAAAATGTAATATCGATCAACGTAATTCAAGCTGATGTATGGAATAATGATGTAATAGCAAAAAGCACATGCAATATTACATCAATGGATGTAATTTTGTTCGCAAAATCGATGTACATCGTACAATGTGATATTACACAACCGATGGATTGACCTGGTTGCAGCAGTTTCGATGTAATATTCAACAACTTTTTTTGCTGTGTATGTTTCATGGGGATTTTTTCATAACTTTAGGAGCCCTATCTACCCTGAAAATATCAGTGCCAACATTTCAAAGGGGCGTAATTGCTTTTGTAAGCAATGGTTTTAGCTATCGATTTCTCGCAAATAAAAGTCCATCCCTCCAAATTAACAATGCTAGCTGGTAAAGGAAACATTCCTCTACCTGCTGGTGCCATTAATCTTCATGAGTAAGTTTTAATTCACGAGAAATCGACGGCTAAAGTCATTGTTTACAAATGCAATTACGCCCCTTTGAAATGTTGACACTGATTTGTAAAACCGGAACCAAACACCCTGTATATAGCGCAAATTTATGAGACCTCCACACAACGGGGACATGTCATATTGCTTCAGTGTAAGACGGTGTAATTGCAGTTATCAAATTTTGCTCCTTGCTCTTCCATCAAGTTTTGTTTTTACTGCTTATGTTTACTGTTGGCCAAAAAAGGTTTTGCAAAAACTTTTTCAAATCAACCAAATTTTGTTCGACATAATGAACCGAAAGCCTGACCGGTAAGAATTCCTTGCTAACGATACAAGAGCGCACAGTTTGGATAGTAATACTCGTAATAAGTAACTAATGGATCCATTGCAGCAATAAACAGGATGTAGAAGAAGGCGACGAATGGGATGGATTTTGCCGGCTTTGCTTCTCCGAAGCGAACGGAATGGTGCAACTGTTCCCGGAGGACAATAGCCCGGATCGTGATCTGTTGTGGAAAATTCTTGAGTGCACTACGTTGAAGGTGAGTGAGTGCCATAACCTGTTCTATAAGATAAATTAAAAACACATTGTTCTAGTACGTCGAATGAAAAATCTACTGTTCGTGTAGTACCAGAATTTCAACTAGAATGGGGTACGTTAATCGATTTGCTTGGGACCAATAGGCTAGTCAAGTACTGAGCCAATTTCAAATCGATAGTTTCGTATTGATTGTTGGTATTAGGAGGGTTCTTCATCACTGACAGACATGCAAAGCAGTATCGTTGTACTTATTTACTCTAGTACCTCAAAAAGTACAATTTGAGTTACTTACCATTCTAGTCAAAATTCTAGTACTACACTATGTTTTTTTTATTCGCCTTGAAAGTTTGGCAGATAAACTGAGGGGTTCGTAGATTTTCCTATCTTTCGAGGGGTGTATTGAATAGCTTGGGACCGAAGATAGTACCAGAGCTGAGCCAAAAAGTTGAGCACGTTTCTTCGGGACCTACTAGTATTAGAGTTACCTCTATGCTAAAATCATGTCTGTTGATGGTATTAGCCCAGGGTATCACATACATTCTCATTTGGTCGGTGTTAAATTAGAGAGGACTAAGTTGCAAAGTTAAAAAAATTAAATAGATAAAGGTAGCATTAGGTCAAGAATTTACTCAGCTAGATTTGAAAAATGCTACAAACAGCAAGAGAAAACAGCCCAACGATTTGTCCCATTGCACAAGAAACAATACTACACAGCCAACTTGAAATTAGTTTTTCTCTAAATCAAAAAATTGTCACTTAGTCCGGTCTTACTTAACACCGACCATTTATACCATCGACAGACATGACTGGGGAGTACCGTTGTACTCCTTTAAACTAGTACGTCGTTTAAGGTACTGGATTAAAGGAGTACAACGGTACTAAAATCATGTCTGTCATATGTATTACATATGTAGCACACCTAAAAGGGTTGCTAAATCCCGATTCATCAATTTAGTGAATAATTATTAATTAATTAATTGATGCATCTTATTAAACACTGTCAAACACTTCTACTATGCCGCCATGGTTTGTAAAAACTTTGGGGGCATGGTAGAACTATTTAATTGATCTATCGATACATAATTCTCCTTTTCCAGCTCACCTTCGATACCGACCACACCGCACGAATTTGCCTGGAATGCATACAATGTATGACTGATTTTTGCGACTACCGAATGCAATGCCTGAGAAATGATAAAAGAATATCCACACGTAGGCAACGCAAAAGAACCTACTCACACATACAGAAGCACCCAGAGGAGCTAAATGTGCTAGAACAACCAGAGGTAGATTCCCCTGAAGAGTTCCGTGCTGATCCGTTGGATGAATATGAAGATTGTCATGAAGACTCTGTCGATGATGTCGAAGAAGATGATCACCTACAACCGAATGCAAATCCGTCAAGCATCAAAGAAGAATTAACTATCGAGGATGATCATCTCATGAACACTGTCGTTGAAAACGATTCTGTCGATACAGACGAGGCCACTGATCAACCAGAAAAAGTCAAGAAGAAACGAATTCGGAAGGTACTACTTCACGATGGACACACCTATCAGCTTCTGTCGTCAAGACCAAAATGTGACTCTATTACGTGGGGATGTATATGGCGAAAGTCAAAAGCCTGCAAGGGTACCATAGGTACTAGAGCCAGTGGTTTAATACTCGGAAATGTTATACCGCAGCATAATCATCCACCTCAACCGGTCGAGAGTAAGCAAAGGAAAGCGGTCATCATTCACGCTTACCGAGAGGTTGAAAATATCTACCTGGACGAACCGTACGAAATCACCAGGAATCGAATCGGTGCCGATATGCTAATGTACAATGGAGATAGGTATCCGTACTCGCACAGTCGTAAGGACGGTTGCCGCATATGGAAATGCAGTTCTCATCGAAACTGCAAGGTTTCCATCTATCTTTGCCCAGACGGCAGAATTTTCAAGCTAGCCAACAGCCAACACTCGGACGTGAAAATACAACAAAAGCGAAGCCGTACAATGGACAATGAAGCCACTGTAAGTGACATCTCGTCGAACATCGAAGATATCTATCCAGAACCGGTGGGAACATTCAACTACAAGATCGTCAAGAATGCCAACAAACGAAATGTACTAATCTACGGAGGTGATAGGTACACTTTCTACTACAAAAAAACCAACGGATGGGTGGTATGGAGATGCACGGTTTCGAAGGGATGCCTTGCCATGATCTACCAGCTACGTGATGATTCGGTTGTTGTCTTGGGTGATACGACTCATAATCATTTGAAGACAACGGATAGTTCATGAGCATATATGGTGAGTTAATAAACCTATAGACATAGTATTGATTGCAATCTACTACATCTTGAATCACTGGGTAGACTATAGAAAAGAAAGCCTTTCGAATTGTATTACTCAAATGGCATGCTGATGTTCACTCATGCAGTGGCGTACCGTAGCTGGGGTGACACCCGGACAATCAGACATAACTCTCGTCATGCTGATCATTCCTTGTAATAGTTTATTTGGTTAGTTGGACCAGGACTAGAAACCAGGTATCAGGTATATAGGCTGTAGCCTAGAAAAAATAATACCGGCTAAAACTCCATCCACAAACAACTGTACCTCTCTGTGGTTCAATAATTATTTCCTTTCCAAACCAGTACCGATGCTCGCAAAGAAATTTAAAGTATACTATACATTTCGTTTAATCGAATTTCAGGGTGGATTTCCACCTGGTTCAAAGGAGAATCCCCCAACGCTGTAGCTTGCAGCTAAATTGTTACTTACCTCTTCGAGCTCCTGAGAATGAAAGGCCACGAGTTCTGGGTTTTCAAATATACGAAGCATGAGAATGAAAATCAAGGCAGGTGTTCCGTGCGAAACAAGCTATAGTAGCTTCCAAAACACAACGCAAACGATCGTCATTCAAACCACCCATCGTGGCAACAACGCACTCCAGGTAGAATTTTAAGGACACCGAACGAGAAGGGAGAAGCACTATATACTTCTCTTCAACATGCTGCTGCCTGCTGCTCGCCGTAGCGCACGGCAGGCAAGTATATAGGACCAAAAGTAGCAAAATACGATAGGACGACTGCTATAAAAGCGACACAGCCAGCCAGCGTTTTTTGAGTATTATTCCGACCACCATCCAAGTTACATCCAGTGAAGTAAGAAAGCAATCTGTAGAGAAATAGTGAAGTTAGAATAAAAGTAGTGTTAAGGTGATAATTTGATTAGTGTGTTGAATCTTTCAATCCGAACGAAATACAGTCCACTTCCAACCCACCGGAGTTGGCCACGGTAAACGCGCCAACAGCAGGTGAAGCTCAATTTTATCAAACATCCCAACGCAAAGTGTCTACGTGCTTACGCCTCTCAATCTCCCATGGTCATAGAGTGTGTATTCAACGCGGAAATCACCATATCAGGATCCGACGAATCAGCAACAACTGCAACCTTTTTTTTTTGAAAATAAAAATATATATAGATATAAATTAAATGGGAATGAAAGGCCTCGAGTCCTGGGTTGTCAAATATGCGAAGCATAGCCTACTTTGATTAAATCGACTTAGAGTGGAAATTCACAGAAATAATAATATCAATAATAACGACGACTTAGTAAAATTGAAGTGCTGGATGATATACTCGAAACAGGCTGTTCCAAATCTTGTTAAGAGAAGCGTGGATTTTCCATTCGTGACCGGTAATTTAGACGAATGTACAGCTGTTCTAGCTAAAGTAGATAATGTTAATGCTAGAGTTATTCAAGATTGCTTTCATGTCATTGGCCACATCTTGCTGACCCTTATTATTAAATCATTGCAGACTGGACGTGTACCACAAATTCGGAAGGAATCCTTAGTAGTTTCTGTTCAAAAAGTTGCTGCAACGATTAAAGCCAAAGAGTTTCGTCCCATCGTTGCACTCAGAGAAAATTTTAGAACTTGTTAAAGGCCAGCTGTTGGTATATTTGAATAACAACTCTTTGTTGATACCAGAACAATCAGGATATCGGAAAGGTCATTCTTTTCAAACTGCGGGGAGATCTGGACATAAAACGTGAAATAGCCGATCTGAACAGACTTCTTGAATGGACTCACTCCGAAATGAAAGTTTCAAGTGTGTTGTCCAAAATCTGAATAACCGATCCAGACCATTCTGGAAGGTAGCCAAGGTATTGAAAATTCATCCCAAACCCGTTCCACCTCTCAGAGACGAATGTGATAACGATCGGCTCTTAATTACCCCACAGGAGAAAGCAAATGCAATCGGCGAGCATGTTACTTCATCTTATTTGCTTGGCTCGACTATCCAAAGTCCGCTCGAAGATCAGGTTGCGCAATGCGTACAAAACCTAGATGCCTTCTCTTGTATCGTGCCTCCGGCGGATAAGATTACAGTACAACAGATTTGCTCAGCGTTGAAATGTACCAAGAACATGAAGGCTCCCGGGTTTGATTGCATATTCAACTTAATCTTGAAGAGACTCAGCATGAAAGTGCAGTCCCTTTTGACCGCTATCTTCAACAGATGCGTGGAGCTGCACTACTTTCCAAGCGTCTGGAAGGTAGCAAAAGCCATACCAATTCGCAAATCCGGTAAGGATCCAACATTGTCTTCAAGCTCCTTTCAGTGCAAAGCAGTTCGAGAAACTCATGCTCAATCGTTTGCTCAAGTTTGTCGAGGAAAACAACATTCTCCTTCCGGAACAGTTTGGATTCAGGACGGGGCATTCCATCAACCAGCTAGAACGGGTGATGAATAACATCCGAAGTAACAAAGCTGTATCCAAGTCCACAGCCATGACATTGTTAGACGTTGAGAAAGCCCTTGAGAATGTCTGGCACGATGGGCTTGTATACAAGCTATGTAACTTCAACTTTCCTTTACATCTTGTTAAAATCACCCGTAACTACCTCCAGCAAAGGTCGTTTAAGGTATCGTTGAATGGTTGTCGTTCAGACACGTTTTTTATCCCAGCAGGAGTCCCGCAAGGCAATCTGCTGGGCCCATTGCTTTACAGCATCTACACTTCCGCCATTCCTACCCTCGGAGACGTAGGCGATGTACTTGGGACCAATAGGCTAGTCCAGTGTGAGCCAATCTAAAATCGTTAGTTTCCACCGGTTGATTGAGTGGTCTGCCGAAGTAACCTATTTCAGGATGTTGTTCGATGAAAAGCTCCTTTTCCGTTCGCATATAAAGAAAATCGTAGTCAAGTGTTCTGCCTTGGTATGGTGTCTGTATCCGTTGATTGGCCGCAGATCCCGCTTCTCAAAGGTGAACAAACTGGCTGTCTACAAACAAATCATAGCACCTGCGATGCTCTACGTAGTTAATAACAAAACCTATAAAAGCTCTATACATCATTTTGCGGAATGCTGTTTAAGAAAAAAGTTAGAGGTAAATGAATGTAAATGAATGCACGAAATGAATGCAAATGATTTTCCATGCCTGGCACAGACCAGGGATTGAAACGGTTGACGTTTTTTATTACACTCGCTTCGTTGTCGTGCGCGAAAGTTTGTTTGTATTCGTACTCTCATGCTCTACCATCGTCTCTCTTACACAACACAAACAGTAGAACAACTTTAGAGCAAAAAGAAAATTATCAAAAAACTATCATATGACATGTGTGATTTCGTTCTAATTCCTCAAATTGGTGTAAATTAAACCATTTCTGATCAGAAATGTTATTACTAGGACATCGTTGCTTGCTATTTCCAGAATTCATGCAAACACAACATCATCTTATTATGAGAAAAACTATAACACATACATTCGTGACGGTCTTCGGCGACAGTGTCGTATGACAGAGTTTGTCACATGACATTTTACTTTGGTACTGTAATTTGATAGCTTGTTTTACAAGTGTCGGAAGAATGGCAGTCGATTATCATAGAAAATGCGTCGACTACGGTGATCGCTTACAAGACTGGCACAGACTCATAGGAACAAAATCCAGGTCGCTCAAAATAGAGTGCTGAGGATGGTCCTTGATCATCTCTTCGACACAAGAATTTCTTTTTTTTTATCTAGTTCGTTTATTTGGAAGGCTCAATCGCGTTAGCTTTACGGAGCCGATAATTCATTGTTCACTGTGTGTAACAAAATTCACTTAATTCTATGTCTAGTAGGAGTTGGGCCGATTACTCGCGGCTTACTCGAGGTTAGAAGGGTACATTTTCGAAGGATAGGATCAGGGGAGGAGCTTGGGGTAGGGTTTCGTTGTCTCATCAGAGCGTTGTCGCCAGTATGAACGGTAGTGCTGTTCTAGCTTCGTCCGGAGTTCGACCGGCTATGGTGGGTGACCAGTGGGCGACGATGAGACTCATCGAGACCACAAGAATTTCTGATCTTCACCTAGAGGCGGACATTCCAAAACTAGATTTTAAAATTAATGACTAGGTTTGTGCAGAAATGCAACACATCAAAACATGCTTTGTATATAGTAGGTTAGGTGTATATAGTAGTTGTAGGTTAGTTGTAGTTATGAGTAGTCTCCTTTTCCCAATTTAAAACAAACCAATCCCACCAAGGTGGTGATGTTTGTTTTGATTCGCTATGAAAGTTTGACAGATAAAATGAGGGGTCAGTGGATTTTCCTATGTTTCGAGGGGTGAATCGATTAGCTTGGGACTGAAGAGAGTACCAGAACTGAGCCTTAAAGTTGAGCACGTTTCTTCGGGACCTTCTAGTCTAGTTACCTCTAGGCACTTTAAATAATAATTAAAAATTTCTAATGAAGACGAATCTGTGTCACTTAAAAATCTCATACATGTAAACCACACAAATTCAAGAAAAAAACATCATTTAAAGTCTAAGTCCGTAAAACTAGTGTTGTTTCAGCCGGCGCCGGTGGTGTAGTGGTAAGCGTGACTGCTTTCTAACACCCCGATGGGTCTGGGTTCAATCCCAGCCGAGGTCGGTGGGATTTTTCTGAGGCAAAAAAATCTCTGGTCATGTCTTCCTTCGGAAGGGAAGTAAGCCGTTGGTCCCGGCCCATGTGTGTTGAATGGGTGCGATATCCTACGCAGGTGTGGAAGCTGCCTTCCTGCACATTCGATTGCCGTCAATGGATGGCAATCGATGTCCGTCGGTGATTGGCACCAGATTGCGGAACAGAGACCGACGTTAAATAAAGGAAAAAAGAAGTAGTGTTGTTTCGGATCCCGGTGACACAAGACGCATAACTGCCCAGCGCGCTAGTTTTTTAAACCAAATGGTGCAAGTTCTAGGTAGTTCGGGACGTTCGAGGATCTGGAGACAAGCAGTCACGAACCGAGTTAGTTGGCTTAACATTATACAGCAGGTTAAGTCTCATCTAAGGACGTTATACTAAAGGCTGACGAAAAGTAAATTGGCACGCCCCTCGCGCTCCGCTAGCACGCCTCTAGTTTTGGGAATCGAAAATGTTTGACAGTGGTTTGTTTACACTTCTATAGAAAACAACTGGTGCACGTTTGATCAAAGTAGTCGATCGCGTATAGAAATAACGTCAAATGGAACTCGAAAGAAGAAAAAATATTGTGCACAAACACCTTGAAAATCTGGAGTGGTCCGGTTCCAAGCTGGCTAAAGTGCTGAAGATGCCGAAAGCAACAGTTTGTCGAGTGCTCAAAACCTACAAGGAAACCCTGAGTGTGTAAAGCAGAAGGTACAACGTCAATTTTCAAACGGTGCGGAACATCCTTGCCAGGGAAGGATACAAGTCGTACAAAGCCAGTAAACATCCGAAGCGGCACATGAAGCAGAATTCTGTGGCAAGGCTCTTGTACGACCGTGTTTTGACGAAACACAAGTGCTGCACTTTGATCGATGACGAAACATACATCAAACTCGATTTTAACCAGTTATATCGCGACTGGACGTGAGGATGTGCCGGGAAGATTCAAGTTCGTGTTTACCGACAAGTTCGCAAAGAAGGCCATGCTTTGGCAAGCGGTTTGCAGTTGTGGCCTGAAAGTTGAACCATTCGTCACCTCCTCGACGATGACATCCCAAGTTTACATCGAAGCATGCCCGAAAAAGCGTGTATTGCTGTTCATCCGCAAGCATAGGAGCAAAGTCATCTTTTGGCACGATTTGGCCAGCTGCCACTACTCCAAGGTTGTTCTGGAGTGGTATGCAGCCAACAAGATCGATTTTGTCCCCAAGCTAATAAATCCTCTGAAATGCCCGGAATTTCGACCAATGGAAAAGTACTGGGTAATTTCAAAGCCTAGACTTCGACGAAGCGGCGGGGCAGTCAAGGACATCCAGCAATGCGGTCAAAATGGAAAAAAAATGCGCTGATTCCGTTTCCGTTTCCATCAAGAGGAATGCCCAGACAACCAGAAGTCGTATAACAATGTACAGACAGTATCGTAAATTGCTACAGTATAAGTCAAAATCGCATATAAGAATGGCATACCTCGCATTATGTTTAAGTTAAATCGTATAGAATGCAAATTTCCGACCTATATGCGATGACTTATTTTTCCGTCGTACTGTATCACAAATTAAATCGGATTACATCGTAAGACTTTTCAAACTGAATTTGTTATTACAGATTAAATCGTATATGATGTTAAATCAACTCGTCTAAAATTAAATTAAAATATGCACGTATATGGCCTCCACTTTTGTACGTATAAGCCATTTATTTGCATTCTATACGAATTGTTTGTTTGTATATATGTTTATATATCACGAAAACAATTCTGAATATACGTGCATTCTGGTTGTCTGGGTGTTCAAGATTTCGTTCGAACTGGAGAAATGTAACGATCTAATGCTGTAACTTTGAAGTTTTAATAAAAGTACTGTTAAGCAACCATTAATGGACGTTTTAAACTTATAGAGTCACGAATTACAGGTCTTTTTGTGCGTACCAATTTATTTTTAGTCAGCCTTTAGGAATAGGACGCGCAGGACATTCGTAATTAAGGTACAGGATCGAAAAAAGATGGCATTTCGGTGCGTTGATGCGGGACTGGCGAGATCATGATCAAATAACTGAACCTACAAAAATAGAATTGAGCACAAAATATTTATTACAAGCGTTGTAATATAAAAATAAAAGAGGAACTTCTTTTTCACGCAGCAACATGTGGTGGATGCGTGTGATCCTTATTAGCTCTGAACAGCTCACCGTTACTGTACATGTAAACTCGACCAGCACAACCCTTGGTAATGCACTTCAGACGAATGATGCCATCCTTTCTGAGACCGCAAAATGTGTACGTAAATCCATCTACCGTTTTCCGGTTGGCTTTGATAAACCATCCTTCACCTTGCTTCGAGGTTTGATTGCACGATCTGCTCGGTCTTCGGCGGGACTCTTTCTCCTTCTTCAAGACCAGCGATATTTTTACGTTGTTACTCAAATTCGGACTAGGAGGTTCCGAGTTGACCGTCTTCTTTTTCTTCCGTGACATGTTTGGGGGAGGATGATTGTGAAAATGGTTATTCAACTCTATGATACGGTTCTTTTCGAGCATAACCACCGCTCTGCAGTAGATGGGAGCCCTATGAGTACAGCGCCAAATTTTTCCATCACTGCTGGGATTGCTATACCGGTGGCTTTGGTATACCAAGTAGAGCCTGTTGCTGCGGCTTTTGGAACCGCGAACTATACTAAATCCACAGGTGCCATTACCGTTTTCAGCATGTTCAACGACTGGTGAAAACTCGCGGCTATCACAAGAATCGGTTCTAGTTGCATCTGCGTCGGATTCACTATCCAATTTGATAGGAATTCTGGTCATTGAGTTAGCAGGAATTGTAGGTACTATTCTCGTAGTTGATTTTCTGGCTCGCATGCAGTGGCCACTGCTAGTAACCTCATGGGTGTCATTGTTTGAAATACGTGTCTCTTCGATTGAATCTTCCAATTTTAATAATGTTTCACCCAGAGCTACAAAACGCAACCTCATTATTTCTAAGCACGGATCAGCTAAATACCATACTTACAAATGTTCTCTTGTGCTGTCTCATCGTTCAGAAGCCCATCTACATCGTCGGTATCGATGGTAAGTAATGAGCAACTTCTGTTGGAACTATTCAGCTGAGCTTGGCCGGTCACTGTTTCAGACCTGCCGACAGGTGCCACGTGGTTGTCATTGAAATCTACCTTTAGCCACCGTTCATTGGAACTGCACAGTTGTTTGAAACGGAAAAACTCCTCAACCAAAGCGATACATTTTGTGCAGATGCACGCGTTGCTATCCTTTCCGAACGTGATACCGATATCGGTACAATATTCAATTTTCTTCACCAGTAGCTTATTGGGTTGTCCATTCGTAGGAAAAACCCGATGTAGCTCGTGGATTTGCGAGAAACACAACCTACAGAACGTTTCACTGGAATACTCTCGAATCAAATCATAGTTAACGGAAAATAGGTTCCTATAAAGTATCGCTAGAATTAGTACTATTACGTTGAGTAATTAAGGTACATTACCTTTGTGAATCGTCCATTTCTATTAAGCTGTAAGGGAAATGTATCGACAGTACGGCAATGATTTGTAAACTAAAACGGTAGCCCGATTAAGGCCATTTCTGTTGAGCTTGCACATTTGCTGTCGAACGAAGAATGTTTCGTCCAGCGAAAATGAGTATGGATTAAGTTGATCTGGATACACCCAACCGGGAAGTGTAGGATTCTTTTACAGTTTGTTACTTAAGATTGATGAAATCAATGACAAATTCGCATATAAAGATTATGTGAAGTCGTCGGCAAAAGCGCAAAAAGTGTGATAAAAGTGCACGTTTTCTTCAAACCGGCTTGGTGTTTTCTGCGCATTTCATAAGGAATTAGTGCACTGAACACACCAAGACGATTGGAGAGAAGCTCACACTTTTTTATAACTGCAAACGCGCTTATTTGTCCAGTTTGGTAGGAAATGCGCAATGCTATAAAAATCATCCAAATAATATTCAAAACACACTGAGAATTCTTTGAGCTTTACCAAGATCATTTAGTGCAAAGTGAAGATCCAAGCCTGATTAAAATAATCAAATCCGAATTAAATCTCTTAGCTCTTTCATGATTTGTAACTCTCATTGATAAAATTTCATAAAATAATCAAAATGTTTCAAAAGTTCTACAATTTATCAACCTTCCAAATCTCAAATTAGATTATCAAAATCTTTCAGCTGAGCAATTAGAGGCTGTTCATAAACGGGGGTTGGGAAGTGTCTACAGTCCATACAAATTTTCAAAGAAAATATGGACTACCTTGACTACCCAACTAACAATTTTACTGCAGATTAGCTTATACAGCCAAAAATTGGCTTATACAGCTAATATTTGCCTGTATAAGCTAGTCTGCAGCTAAAATTGTTTGTTGGGTAATGCTACCGACGACAGTGAGGCAGCACCCAACTTTGACCCTACCTATCGACCCATCAACTCATGGAGATTTTATGGCTTATGCCCGGTGGCGCCGACTGGGATTGAACCCAGGCCCTTTAGAGTGAGAGGCAATCACGCTTGTAGTAGAATTTCGTAGAAAACGTAACTTTCGGGGAACTTAACTAAAACTTAAGAAAACCTCCTAGAAGTTCATGTTACTGCGTATAAGTTCTAAAAAACGTTCTAGAAATGCAAACAATGTTCAGCGGACTTTGTAGAAGCTCAGTAAACTTCGAAGAAGTGCAGCGAATTTTGTAGAACTGCATCAAACTTTGTAGAAACTTCGCTGCGTTGAAGCTCTTCAATACTTCAATGTACTTCTTAACATTTCAGGAAATACAATAGAACTTCGGAGAACTTCGTAAAGCTTCAGAGAATTTCGTAGAAATTCCGAGAGCTTTGTAAATATTCGGACAACTCCTTAGAAGTGGGAGCTTTGTTCAATTTTGGGGAACTTGTTTAATTTTTTACTTTAAAGAAACTTTATAACAGTTCTGGACCTTCTGTTAATGAGAATCTTAGAAGTTCAAGAAACTTTGCAGAAGTGTGCAATGAACTTCATAGTAGTTCAGCAAACTTTATAGAAGTTAAGCGAATTATGTGGCAATTCTAGGAACTTCGTTTTTTACGTTCGCCATAATTTCGCCGAGTTGTGATTCAGCTTGCACATTAGAAGGCTTATTGAACTTTTTTCAAAAATGACGGGTCAAAAATAAACCATTCAAAATTCGTATCACGTTGCTGCATGTCCCCTGACAGACCATGGAGGAAATCCCACAGGATAAGGACCAGGCCAAGCTGAGCCAGGGATATCACGGACTACCAGAAGAAACTCGAATTGCAAAAGGTAGAATACCAAAAGGAAAACCAAAAGGTAGAATACCAAAAGCCAAAAAGTTGAGCACGTTTCCTCGGGACCTACTAGTCTTAGAGTTACCTCTATGGTAATACCATAGACACTACCCTGCGCTCCTCTCTGTCTGCTTCCGTTCTTGCTCTCTGAGCACGCCTTCTGTCTAGAAGACAAGTAGCATGGAGGGTTAGCACCTTTTCATCGGTCCACCAGTAAGCTGGACGCCGCCTCTTCGTTAGCTCCAGTTTTCTCGGCATAGTTGTGTCACATGCCCTTGCTAATGATTCGGTCAACTCGTTCGCGCTTAGGCCCGGGACGCTGCTGTCTACCCTTCTTAGAGCTTCGATGAAGAGATCCTTATTGAATGCCTTCGTCTTACACTTCCGCTCGCTTACTTTCGTCCTCCGCATTTCCACCGGTGTCCGTTTGCCGATACTGTACCGGATCGCCTGATGGTCACTATGGGTGTACTCTTCGCACACTCTCCAGTTCATATTTGCCACTAGCGACGTACTGCAGAAAGTGACGTCGATAATGGATTCCCTACCATCTTTGCGGAAGGTGCTGATGGTTCCTAAGTTGACCAGACTGACGTTCAACTTTGCCAGAGCTTCCAGCAGGCTAAACCCTCTTGCGTTGGTACATCTGCTCCCCCAATCCACTGCCCAAGCATTGAAATCTCCTACGATGATGACTGGTCTCCGTCCAATGAGCTCTCCGGTTAGCCCATCTAGCATCTGGTGGAACTGCTCAATTGTCCATGTCGGTGGTGCGTAGCAACTACATATATAGATTCCATTGATTTTGGCGATCACGAAACCTTCGTATGAGCCCGCCACCACTTGTTGAATGGGATACCTGCCCATGACTTGTATGGCCGCCATTCCTGCTCTATCCGCCACCCAGTTACCATTATCGAGAGGGACTCGATATGGCTCTGCAATGATTGCAACGTCGCACTTTGTTTCTGTTGTCGACTGCCACAACAATTGCTGAGCAATGTCGCAATGATTGAGATTTATTTGGGTCACCTTCATTATTGCTGGCCCACCATCGCCTTCTTGAACTCTGGGCACCTGAAACTTCCCGTCACATGGCCGTTTCCGTCCTCCTTTTTGCAGAGCATGCACCTCGGTTGCTTTGTACAGTCTTTTGCAACGTGTCCCTTCTCTCCGCATTTCCTGCACAGATCAGATCTGTCTGGGCCTTTGCAGTTTCTCGCCTGGTGACCGAAGCCCATACATTTGTAGCATCTCTCCATTTTCTTAGATACCCGAGGAATAGCTTTCAACGGGCACACTGACCACCCAACCTTGATTCGGCCTGTCTTCAGCAGCTCGTTAGCTGCGTCCGAAGGAAGTTGTATCGACGCCGTCTGCGTACCACCATACGCCTTCCTCAACCGAATTGCCATCGGTACGTCTCCCAGGTTGCATTGCACCTTCAGCGCACTTTTCAACTCGTCTTCCGTTGTGATCTCGTCCAGATCCCTGCACTCGACCACTGACTCCTGGAATAAGGCTCTTACGTTCGCCGTCCCGCCAAGAGATTTTTCGACGAGCTCCTTAAAAGCTGCGCTCTTAACCGTAGGATCCCTTTTCAGCTCAAATAGCATCTCGCCTTTCTGGGTTCGCCTGGTTTTCACCACGTTCTAGCCTAAATGTGTCAACTCCGGATCCTCTCTCACTTTCCGGAGGAGTGCTACGTTGGACGTTTTGTCCTTCGCCTCAACAACCAGAGCGTCACCCTTGCTTCTCTCCCTACGAGGCCTAGGCTTCTCCATGTTCTTCCTGTCTTCCTTCTTCTTCTCTTCCTTCTTTCTCGCTTCCTCTTCCTCACTTCATCTTCCTTCTGTTTTTTCTTCCTCTCCTTCTGGTTCTCGACTTTATGCCACCCACCATTTCTCCCATCTCCTTGATGCCTTCCTCGTCCTTGCGTTTTTTGGGCTCCTCCTCATCTCCTGGCGTGTCCCTATCTCTCTTTTCAGGACGTGGATTTGTGGGTCCCTTCGGCGTCTCATGTGCTTCAGCCGGCGTCTCATGTGCTTCATGTGCTTGGAATTCCCGATCTGCCACTGTTATGCCGGATTTGATTCTAGTTACAAGTTGCTTGATCTCTTTGTGTACGTTGTTTTTATCCTTTACGAACACATAGAGATCATCGATCTTCCTCCTGACCTCCGTCATTTTGGTTCTGCCAAGCTGCAGTTCTTGAGATTTGCTACTGCTGGATATCGGTGTGAACATCTGGCTTAGCCCAGCGCCTGGCTGCTCTCCTTGGGACTTACTGCTGCTGCTGGAACTCGCAGTGGCCCTCAGGTTCAACACTGGTGATCTCTGCAATATCCCGCTCCTTGCGAACACGTTCGCTCCTCCGTTTTCATTATCTGGCGTCTCCGATTTTCTCCATTCTGATGGGTCCCCCCTCCGGACCGCTATATCCACTCGTTGTATGTAGTTTCCTATCGTGATCCCACGGTTATCTATGCAAGCAGGGAGGCCATGCTAGGGTTGACGAGTTTTGAACGTATCCGGAGGCCTGCCAAGGTTTTACCGGGACGGGGGCAGCCGCACTATTAGCCCACTCGCCATTTCAAGAAGGTGTCACCCTTCTTTACTTAGGGAGCAGAATAGCACGACTATCAGCCCTGTAGCGTGGTATCCAATCCATTGTGCCGTGACGTGTCCATAGTTCCATGCCGTGTCCAGTATGCCGTTATAAGGATCTTACTGGCGTCGATCCTAATGTGCCGGTTGGCACTCCTGCGGGTTGACGAAGCATTTCCTCTATCGCCGTGTTATGTGCCAGTGTTCGCGTCGCACTCCCTCACTTTGCTATTGTCAGAAGGACAACATTGCCCAGGCTACACTACGGGGAGGTGTGAGGTAGGAACTTGTAAGAACCAGAGCTGGGTTGTCAACTCACCATTTGTAGCCCCGTGTGTGAAAGGTGTCGAAAAGTTAAAGTACTTAAAATAGCCAAACAATAAGTAGTGAGAAACTGGATTAGCTTGGGACCGAAGAGAGTACCAGAGCTAAGCCAAAAAGTTGAGCTCGTTACTTCGGGACCTTCTTGTCTTAGAGTTACCTCTATGGTAATATTGCATTCGAGTGTGACAGTTTGCTGCACCACAGCTCAATTCAGGTAATTAGTTCTCTGCCCAAACTAAAGCTAACATTCAATACACTCACAGGACCTTTTGTGTTACCGTTTTGGTAGATACCACTATTTTGTCCGTTGACACGATCAACCGACGCGCACGTGATGTGGCTTAGCAGTCACTAGGGGCCGCTAGGTCTAAAAGTAAAGGAACAATCCTTCCTCAAGCCAGACCAAAAATAATCGGCTGGAAGGAGCTTGTCTCGGGAACCCTCTCTAACCGCCAAGGAGACGTTCCCCTCTCGGCAGAGTCACTCCGGCCTTGCCTGGGCTCTGCCAATGTAAGCCTAATGAGGGAAGACCTAGGGGAAGACGCCTGGGAAAAACTATAGTGGTTTCACGCGCCAACGAAACCGCTGCCTCACACCGCCACTCAGCCAACTTTGACCACGATCGCCACACCGAATCTAAAAATTTGTATGGACGATTGTCTACGCAGGAGGTGTGAAACCTCTCAAAATCGGTCTACGTAGCTTCTAGGTAGTGGCATTTCTATGCAAAAGACTGTCGTGTGCAAACGGTTTCTGGAACGTGCTGTGAAAGAAAAAATACCAAAACATCATTTCCAAAGCCATTCGAAAGCAGTACCTTGATTGATAAAGTAACGAATGAAGTAAAACTACAGCTAGATGTCAAAGACGGAACGGACAACGTTGATGTTAATGTTAATAGTGTGACTTCGGAGGACGCATTCCGAGGCAGGTACTGATGTCGTACAATTCAGTTATCAATTTCAAATGATTCCGACGATGCTGCTAGCGTTATTTCGGACGTTGAGTACCAACCAACATCTAGACGGTTCCCAACGGTGAACCAAAGATATTCTTCCTAGGCGGCTATTCATGTGTGCTGAAAACGCAGAGCTAGTGTAACCAAAATATTTTAATAATGGCGAGCTCGGAATAAGACAAAATCTTCTGCAAACGCATCTTAATCGAGAATATTAAGTATGGAACGCAAGGGATTGTGATACACAAAACAAAAATACCGTATTATCTAGCTAATAATAAATACCATATATAATTTTATTTATATATTTGCATCATAATGGATAATGTAGTACTTAAACGTGGAAAGGGGGCATGTAAAATTGCATTTGTCCTTACGATTTACTTTCAGTATGTGCTGGTTTATTTACGTCAAGTGGTGGTTTGTGAAAGTTAAAAATATATTTTGATAAATGATGCGACTTTTACAAATTAAAATAGGTATATAATAGGAATAGTACATTCTTCACCTCTCGATTGACCACCCAAAACAGTGAAACATCTAAATTCTGCTTTTCTTCTTCTTTTTTCTAGCTGCACATGTGCTTGTGGGTAAAGGTGGGGTGAATCGAAAGGAATTTCTACTAGATTTTTTTGTGTTCTCTTTTCGCACTTTATGTTTCTTTACATTGCGTATCTCACAATCGGTTTATAAATTTCTTAAATATGGGTCTACTAAATTAAAAAAGGAATACTTTCACTTGATCTGCAGTTAAATTTGTATGGTTTAACAATTCTAATAAAAGGAAGAATCTCTCCAAAATAAACAACTTTTGTTCAGGTAATTTTGCGGGATGAAACGCTTACCTACTAACTTTTTGCTAAAAAAGATTAAATATTTTCTCATTTGAAAACAAATACCTTAAATAAAATAAAATATTTTACTCAACACCACTCATCTGAACCACTGGCTCGAGATCTCGCTGATTTTCCAAATTCTCATAGTTGTCACTCTCCTGGAAGCTAACGTCTGGTTCCAGCGGAAGTGGTTCGTCGTCTTCCTCCAAACCGGTATTATCGGCACCATCCGTTAGCATTCCGTAGCTGTCCTCAAAGCTGGGTTGACTACCAAACACCGAATGATAGCTGAAGTCAAAATTCTCTCCGTTATCTCCCACCGTTCCGCCATCAGCAGTCATGTGATGTGGGTTAAAATGATCCCACAGAGAATTGTTGTCGTTACTGCTGCTGTTCATCTGCATTCCATAGTCACTATAGTCGATCCATTCGTTGCCGCCATTTCCAGGGTGTGGCATTCCATTGCCGCCGACATGGTTGTTACCTTGCTGCGCTGGCATGATTTCCAGACGAGGTTTTCGGGGCCTCCTTCGTCTTGGTTCACCCTCTGACCGAATGTCATGAACGTGTTCGCCTTTGACTTGGTCCAGTCGTCCGTCTGCTCCCAGATAAACAGCAGCGTGACAACTTCGAATCGCAGAGCATCGCCACACCTTTCGACCATCCTTTCTGACATAGTGCAGAAAATAACGACACTGCTGGAATATCAGCACATCGCGCATCTTCCAGTTTTTAACAATTTTATACTCTCGTGTTCCGATTAGCGTCTTCCGTCGGGCTAAACTGTTACTGGCAGAGGCGCTGTTGTAATCTTCTGTTTTGTGGTTGTGCATCATATTGTTAGTACGTATCACTTCTCCGGTCAGCGTGGTGTAGATGGACGCTTGGCAATTCATCTTAGCTTCGTAGTTCGAACAGCGCCAGAAGGCCATCCGGTGGTCGGCGTTTCTCGAGACAAATTTGTAATGATAACCATGGTGGATTATGAACTTGGGCAACTCATGAAGGGATGACGACGAGGACGACGCCGAAGGCGATGGCTCCATGTTCAAACTCAACGGATCGGGTGGTGCGATTAGCTGAATGTCATCGTCCGCTTTATTCGGTCTGCTCTGGTTCAAATACGAGAGGGATTGACTCATCAGGTTATCCATAAGCGACGCCGTCCCGTGAGTGTGCATCATTTCCCGGTTCACCACAAGTGTTTTATTCGGGAGGAGCAAAACCGTCGCGCGACAACCTAAAGAGAGAGAGATGAAATGCCAAATAATTTATGTAATTTTTTTTATAGGATTGTGTCCTACATTGTGTTTTGGATCGCTATTGATATCCTCAATTTAGTTTTCTTTGAACTTTTTCAATGTTGTTAATAGCTGTCTAACACTAAATTATTTTGCATAACTACTAGGGTAAAATGGTTCAGTTATTATAGGGTAAGATGGGGCAAGATAGATCATCTACTTGATTTATTTATTGCTTACCCTTCTTATAGAGAAGGGTATACACATCGCTTGGAAGTGTCATATAACATTCGACTCAGCTCGATGATATCAGAAAATGTCTGTATGTGTGTTTTTACATACTTTTGGGCAACGTGTTTCTCAGCAATTATTGGACCGAATTGGACACAACAACCGCCAAATGAAAGGTATTGTTGTCCCATTCACTGGTTCCGGAGATATGGCCGGAACATGTTAAGTGGCCAGTTTATAACTCGTGTCAAAAGTCAAAACCCATCATGCGACACCTCAAATCACATGAGAATTCAAAAACAAACGCAACTGTGGATACATCCAATGCCCAAGCCCATATTGGACCCATCCATACATGCCATACATGAGACCAATGATGTCAAATCCAAAGAGCGCAAAAGAGCTCGAGCTCAGATTGATGCTCCAGCTGGACTTCCACAAACACGCATCACGATGAGTGATGCGGGGGGGTTCGTTCTTGGGTGAGGCGTGCTTTACATCGACTCTGCTCACCAAACAACATTTTGAACTTCGGGATGGACTCGGTGAAACGGTGAGCTTCGTTATGCATTCGGCCACGCACGGCCTTGGATTGATGCACGGTTCTTCCATTCAATATTATGATACACAACAATACATTCAATGGACTGTAAGACTTATTCCCAGAGAACGTAACATTTTGAGAGACTTATGTTTTTTTTAAACTTGGAGACCACTTTTTGGGTTACTCAAACACAGTAACAAAAATCTTTGATCGTTTTTTTTTCCGCTAAGTGCTTTATGAGCTTGAGCTTGAGCTTGATTGACCGCCCGCGGTTGCTACTCTGTTACTGCCAGATCAGCTGTAATTACACAGAGAACCAATAGACGATGCTTGGGACTAGCAATCATCCTCAATGTGTAAAAACTGGGGATCTTAAATTAGGCAATACCAGCGCCGGCCGCGCCCGAACACAGGTCAAGAAAGGAATGGAAAGGATTGTGTTGACATGACACTCGCTTTGATGGAAGCCGAGAACACCTCTGCACTTCCACGAGGAATCACTGGGATGTTGGATAAGAGGGTTGGGTTTGCAGCAGGGTTCGTTTTGGTAAACGATAAGCTGAATTGATGTCCTAACGATCATATAACGCGAAGGAGCTTGGGACTAAACCCACGGTCTTCTGCTCAGTAAGCAAAAACGTTTGCCACTAGGCAGACGAGCACCTTTTTAATCGCCGAGTTGCTGTTATTACCATGTAGTCATATTAACAAATAAAACGATTGACGAATCTTGAATGTGGATGGGCCTGAGATTAGACTCATGATGTTCTGCTCAGTAAGCAAAAACGGTTGCTTTAAGGCCACCGAGCCCCTCATATACATAATACCGTTGCTCAAATTTGTGTATCCATTCAAACCCGGAACCAACGACAACAACGAGTTTCGCAAAATACACGATACACAAGCGATTTTACCATAAATCTCTTTGATATGTAAGGACCTGGGACCGCGTTTTTCTGCTCAGTAAGCAGGCCACTGTAACCGACGATCTTTTAAATCCGAAAACTAAAAACTACGAAAAAGTACTTAGGCCTTCATTAAGTTCCACTTTCACGCGACGTTCAATGACAGGGTCCTATCCAGGATTACATCTGAAAAATCCAAATCTGGCCAACGCCCACCTAAACCTGTTCTAATCCACCTGAAATGACTAACGAATGGAAGACTTTGACTACCCAGCCATGCAATAGTGTCATTCCGTGCCTTATGGCAACTTGATGATTCTATTGCGCTCATCTTTTGGCACCACCCAGGGGAGACTTGGTCCTGTACCCAATGCTTAACTTATCTCCATTCCACTCAGCTACTCGCAATTTCTTGTGATATAGTGGGCGGAATATTATTATATGAGACAATTCAATGCAGACGTCTTTCCAAATTTGGCAGATCGACAGGTAATCGGTGAGTTACCACGATAGTTGCTATTCAACAACTCGACAACGTCCCATCGTCAACGCCTGCTATGAGAATTTCCCATTGCAGACGCCAACGAAATGACGTCATCGAGCTATCGATCAACTACCCTGGTTATTAGACTGATGCAAAATTTGAAATTTTTGCTCCACAGTGTTCAACCGGTTTCAAATTGGGTCCTGATTAGCCTCCGAAAGTTTAAACTCATTTGATAAGAAACTGACTTGGCACAAACCATTTGAAGTTTATATGGAAATTACTATGGGAAAACAAAACTTTTTGTTCATTGTCTTCTAGCCTTTTTACATATTGTACTGTTAACAAATTCTATTGCTATTCTTATGGGTATTTTTATCACCTACAACTTTGCACAACATTGTTTTTCAGCCAAACGTCAAAATAAATAGTTATTAATTGTTTAAGAGATTGATAATCTTATGGCAAGATTAAGCAACTGTATTGTGGGCAACACTGTATTCTGCAGTATGACATAGTAGCCATGACTTTTGTCCTCTATTCTACGTGCCATAAACACCAATGTTGCCTGCTAAACAGTTGATTGAGCATAGTCATAAGACATCAGTGAATTGAATCATTAATAACTTTTGTTCCTTACATTTGATCGAAAAGTGGTCTTCAATAAAGTTGTAGCTGAGAAAATTTTCAACAAGCTCAGCTATCATTTTCTAAAGTAGAGTGAACTGGTGAATTTTGAGATAGATATGAACCGAAATTATGGTTTCTCCATAGTAATTCCCATATAAACTTCAAATGGTTTGTGCCAAGTCAGTTTCTCACTAAATGAGTTCAAATTTAGGGAGGCTAATCAGGGCCCAATTTGGAACCGTTTGAGCACAGTGGAGCGAAAATTTCAAATTTTGCATCAGTCTACTGGTTATCGCCTGGTACCTTATAGCACGATACTAGGAGGCGAACCGGAAGAATCGATGAGCTACCTCTCCCCCTTTTCCGCTAAGTGCTTTATGAGTGGATAAACAAAATTATATTTCTGACTCAGAAAGTACGAAAACTAGTAAACTCAGGGACTCAGGGAAAAACTAGTTAAAGCATTAATTACTCCGATTATGGATTATCCATTTGTGATGTTTTCGTATTCTCCTGTTGCCTTTTAACATGTTCATTCATTCAATATGCTACCCTCGCTGAACCCAAGTAACATTGCTAGTTTTATAGCATTTTACAAGTCTGAATCGTGGGTTACAGAACCCTCATAAAACCAAAATTGTTACTTGGGAACACACGGTATACCGTGGAAGCACCATACTTGACGCAGTTAAGACAATTTCAAATTCAAACATGTTCTAAAAAATGAGAGTCTTACCAATTCAATCAATATTTTACACAGTAATAGTTCAGTAAATACAGAATGTAGGAAAAATAAATAAAACGTAAATATCTGTTAATTTCTTGATGTTATAATAAATTTCTGTTTGGTACTTTGGGTTCCTAACTTGACGCATAGAATCTGTAATGTGCCTTATTTGACGCAAGGTGTTCTTTATTTGACGCACTTAAAAAAATAGCTTAATTTCAACAAAAAACAAGTGTTTATTGAATGGTTGATGAAATATGGTAAATATACAAATCATTAAAGATCAAACAATCAATTTCATTTTCTTTGGAGCAGATTAAGGTTTATTTTATTATTATTTTTTTTTTTATTTAGATTCATCTTCCTACGAACGGTGGCCTCCGGAAGCAGATTTCCGAACTGATGTACCTCTTCGTGCCATGTCCACGGCTTTACCGAGTGCAGTCTTGCTGTAGGTCATGTACTTTGTTTTGGGCTCCATGTTTCACATATAAAATAATAAGGGCCACTGTGAGCCTAAATTGACGCAAAACATTTTCGTTAAATAATGTGCTCTAAACATACTATATATTGCTAAATCAGCTGTTAAACGTTAAAAATACTTACAGTTTAATAGTTAGTAACGTATTATTACACAAAAACTGATTTTCTGCGTGAAAACTAACAATAAACATTAAACTTGCTCCTTAGCGTTGTTGCTACGATGAGAAAAAAATTACGCATTTGACAGATGGCTTTTTCGTTTTGATTTTGATTGCTCTTATTAGCAATAAACAAAGTATGTTTTTTGTTATGAATGGGTGGCATGAGTGTAAACAAAGGACAGAAAATTACAATTTCGGTGCAATTCAAACCGAAACAGGAGTTATGATCGAATTGATTGGAAAGTGCGTCAAGTTTGGACCCGCGTCAAATATGGTGCTTCCACGGTAGCACGAAAATCTTTCTGAACCAACAATTGAAATAGGCGGAACAACCCACCGTAAGCACCGAAAGATTCCCTCGACCGGACCGGCTTGGTAATACCGTGCCTTTACTGACTAGGCTATGAGGCCCCGTTAGTCACTTCCCTAAGGGTTTCTGTAAGATGCCTGGAAGTAAGAAAGGTGATCCTGGGCACATTATTTGACTTGCATTGATCTTGGTTTTGAAATCTAATGTGATTTGCTATGTGGCACATGATGAGTTTTGGACCAAGTTTGATTTTGTTTTGAATTCGCATGTGATTTGATGTGTGGTATGATAGGTTTGCAATCTCCAGAACCGGTTGACGGAATCCAAAAGTATTCAATATCGTTCAATGGGACCACAGTACCTTTCATTTGGCGCTAGTTTTGTCCAATTCGGTGCAACGGTTGCTGAGAAGCATGAGCGTATTTTTTTCGTTACACACGCATGAACATTTTCCGATGTCGTTGAGCTGAGTCGATTGGTATGAAAAACTCGGCCCTCCGAGCCTCGGATCGAAAGTTGGTTTC